ATGTCCCGTTTGGTATAAAAGTTAAAAGGTTGAGGTAAGTTAATAAAGTTGAATTCTTTGTAATAAAATCAATATTTATAGTATCATCTTATCTGTAGAATGCACCACAAAGTTAACCAAGGATGATATACTTTACTTTTTCTTTTTCTAGCTTATTAACTGAAGGATTCAATGTATGCTCAGCTCCCAGTTATGAAAGTACACAAGTACTGTTTGACATTCCTGTGTCATATATCCGTTTATGTATTTGATATCTTTCAATAGCTATTTGAATATATTTTATGAGTATTTCTGCCGAAGCTCTACCTCTAGGCACTTTCGATTTCGCGATCGCTTCAATATTTGATATTGCATTTTGCTTTGATCATTCGTCGATCAAAGTCAAACCAAGCGGAGAGAATTTGATGCAGGTAAATAATACAACACAAAACTGACCCATTTCTGGAAACAACAATAATGGTGGGTTTTGTATAAACTAATGTAATTTGAAAAGGTTAATTGTAAACACATTAGTGTTTGAGTTAAATGAAAACTTTGTAATTCAACTAACGTTCCCAAACACATTTGAAACAATTAAGGAGTATCCAATGACGCAACGAATAAAAATCTAGCTAAGCTCTCAATAAAATAATTTAATAATGCTAAGCCATTTTTTTTAGTTTGTTGACATTGTGGAACCACAATAAAGTATGTGTCTCCACCATCAGGAAAATCGAATATTTTACAAGCCAATTGAATGAAATAGTAAGCAAACATAGCAAAAAAGCTACATTTTGAGGTACTCCTTTCTTCTGGTTTCATGGTTAGCTACATTCTGAAAAGAATCCATCTGAAAACAAAAGACAAAATACTCCTTTTGGATGTTCATTGGTTGTTTGTGTTAAGTTTTCAACCCAACTTGTATTCAGTTTGAGTATGCATTAACACATAGAGAGTAAACTCAATTCCTAAATAATATTGTAGCATAATGGGAGAAAAGTGAAGTACCTTAAAATTTCTGAAATATTTAATTTTACTAATGACTTAATTTTTATCAGTTTGAATAAAACTGAGTACATCACTTATTACTAATAATACTGGCGATTGCTGCATTAAATATATTTACCAAATTAGAAGTAGGCGTGAGCATACATCCGTAGCTTTCTATATAAGTACTATTGCCAGGAAAGCAGAAGGGTCAAGAACCTTGATTACTGCAGGTAAATTTAAGAGACAGACAGGTCAATCTCACGCTTAACTGAACCTGGCCCTCCATCTGACTCTCACACATCCCTTTATGTAACTCTTTATGTTTCCCTCTCTTTTGCTACTGAACATCAAAACAACATTTGTTTCAGTGATGGTAAGTGACACAACATGTCTCCAAAAAGGATATCATGATTATTGTACTATATTCAATTGCACATTGCACCAAAGTTCTAAGGTACAGGTTATTTACCAAGATAAAGATCTTACCCCTTTCCAATAAAGTTGGCAGACTCTTAGAACCTGTTATTTGTCTGTAAAAAAAACCCCTCTAAGCGTGTGTGGAACATATCAATGCTGATTGTCTGGGTAAGTGGTTATAGTGCTAGCCTTTAAGACTGAAGGTCGCTGGTTCGATCCCAGAGACTGTTTCTGGACTGTAATTTGTCATTAGTCAATTTACGGACAATGGATACGTCCACTATTTAACTAATGATAGTAATGAGATTATGGTTTGGACCGTTCCCTATCAAATAAATCCATTGGCGTAAGTAGACACAAAAAAGCCAGGAGTCCAGTGCAGAAAAATAAATTTAGTTAACTGATATATTTTAACTGTACAAGGATGAGTACCAAGGGCATCGCATATAAAACCGTCAAATGAACGATATGATGCTTTATTAGAAGTTAAAACAACAATCTCTTCAATATATAAACATTTTAATTGTTATGTACAATAAGTAAAACCTAAAAGTATTTATTTATTTTCAATATTTATATTATCACCTTAGGGTCTTAATAAGCTATAAAGTACTCAGCTTAAGCAAAAATATTTAATATTTGATCGTCAAAAGACTTTTATAATTTAGATGTGATTCATCATAAAATAAGTCATATGAACAAAAGATAACCATTTATTTAAAGAAAAAAAAACTTAAATTAACATATACTGGGTCAACTTTGAATGCTCAATGTAGTATTCTATAAATAGTGCACTGACGACCAAAGGTATGTAGCCTAATCTACTCGATTCAAAGTCGATTCCAGCTTTGAAAGTAACTCCGATCTTACCCTATGAGGCTCAAAACTGTTTTTAATTTACAGTATATTACATTATCTTACTATCTAAGATTACAAGATTTTGGAGTTTATAATATTGCCTTAGGAGAAGCTTCGGCACTTACCGTCCCCGCATCACTTAGTACTTCGGAGATCGGAACATCGTTCATCCATAAAAAGTTAAAATCACATGTCTGTTTTAGAAATTCTTCTCTATCGAATTTTCTGTCCTTTAAGACTGTATAGTAATACTTCAACCTGGGAGTGTGGTACTCGAACATTCTCCTGCACAACCAAATGTTGAACACGTACTCGTCGTTTACCATAAGATCCCTGATGTAGCCTTTGTTTCCAAAAATTTTGAGTGTAATATTTTCATGAAACTGGACAAAGTCTTCTAGCTCCTCTCTCATCTTTTTCAAATCGTAGAACCTTGGTCTTTCACCATTCTGAATTTGTGTTTGGTCTGTTGGCTGAGTAGTCACAGAGTTTTCCCTGAATGGAAGTGAGTACATTATACAAACAAATACTCTAGTTTCATAGTCTGGTTCACAGACATAATAAAACAATTTGCAAAAACTTTTTAAGGTTAAAAACTTGAAATGAAGATTAAAAATACTTTATACTTCCTTTAACATTTGTTGATTTTGAAATTTAATCTGGTATATTATCGTAAGAGCATTTAGTACAATGTGGGTGTGTCATAGTCTAATTATGCGGTAAAAGTTTAATATTAACAATTTTATAATGACCAATAATAATTAACTAATAATAACTAACTAATAATAACTAATTAATAATTTTATTTTAAGAGGTGGTTTTATATAACTTATAATTTTCTTTAGATTAATAAACTTAAATTAAAAATTGTGTGACTCTACGTAAAACTCTAAATTAAAACTTCTAAGCCTTGTTGAGATTTAACAATCGTTCAATTAATGCACACAAGAGTTTGAACTGTAATTTTTACCCATAGATTGACGACTACTTTTTAAATATTTTAAAACCTCTCATTTTACGAGTATATAAGTAAATAATTGATCAAAAGTTTGTATTCAGCAAGTAATTATGTGAAAAGTTTACAAAAGTAATAAGTAACTAAGTGGCTTGTAGGGACATAAGTCCTTAAAAAGCTCAAAATGTAAAACAAATTATTGTTATATTTAAACAAACTTGGAATCAAATTATATATGTGTCAAGATAGATATCTCAGTACAACATATATTTTGTGTAAAAAACAGTTTGTTGTTTGTTTTTGTTGATGTAAATTTCAATAAATAATTTGAATGACTCCGGTTTAACTCTGCTAAAGGCAGCAAACATGTTTGTGAATAAATATTGATTTACTAAGCTAGCTTTGGTCTTTTGGTTAATGATGATAAAAAAGGCTTCCCAAATTGAAATATTAGAAATTGTCTTCGTCAAATATGAAAAGGCAAATAAAAGTGTGTTGGGATAAGCTTAGTTCTTGGTAAAAACCTCTAAATTAGCAACCCCGATCCATTTATTCATCTTCGACATGCATATTTTTGGTTAGTTTTAAGAAAAGGTACCTACCTCTAGGTTTTACTGTTATACATGGATGCTCCCTTTACTATGATCCTACTACTTATTGGTAACGTTATCCCTGGTTTTATATAGTATACAGTACATTGCAGAATTGACTGGCAAATGAGTAATCCAAATGTAATGTACTGCTTACTGGCTTAATGATTTAATCACGATCAGCTGTATTGAAGTAAACAAAAATCAGCAGTAAATGGCTCCTAATGCTATTCTTATGGAGAACATTTTATGTTATATCTAATTTTGTGTTATAATTATGGGAATTTGACTATTTTTCCCGCCGTCACGGGATCGAGACCTTTAATTTGAGCCCTCTTCCGTCATTCTACGACTTCCCAGTCGCCCACAATATTTTGACGCAAAGAATCGGCTTACGTTATTAATATATAGATAGATAGATTATCAACATTTTCTTCTTAATACTGCTGCTTGGTTATACGATAACAGCTAATGTGTTCATGATCCATAAAATGTTATGATAGCGCAAACTCTTGTTTTTGAACATAAAATAATAAAGGGAAACAGCATATTTACAAAATTAACACAGCTGACGCAGCCAGTGATGTCAGCATTTCGTGTTTTATCCCACAGATTAAACAAACAAGTCTGCCAACTGTGGCGAATAAAAATCTGTTATTTCAGTAAGATAAAACCTTTTGTTGTTTTACTGAAATTACTTATTGTTTGGGTGTTACTTCTTTTCACAGTAGTTACTCTGATCTATACTCAGGTTTTCGATAATAACTGTTATAATTACCTTTCTTGTGATTACAGGAGTAACAACTACATAACTTCTAGCAGACAAGAAAAATTATTATTGGTGGCAGTTTTGTTTGGTATAAAAGTTTATTTCTGCTGCATTGGCAGGTGATTTTCATGTAAAAATTTCTGGATTAAAAAAATATGAATGTTTTGCTACTCAATATTGATTATCTGAATATATTGTATACAAACAAAGAACATGGTACTGTACTTACATTCTAATTAGTCTTAATTTACGTTATCTTGAAGTTTTAGTTACATGGGCGTAATTGTGATATTTTGGAGTTGAACTTGGTTCAGAATGCCAGCTGGAAATCAACCTACGTATAAAAACTGGGTCATAACAAAAGTAAGAGTTTTCACTTTGTCTAATTACACGAAGAATATAGAAAATTGATAACACTATTGTAAGACTATGGACCTAAACAAATGTTTCAACACTACTATCAGTAATGTTTTTTTATCTTCCAAACCATAGCAGTAGGTTATGATTTTGATATCATAAATCATCATAACACATCATGTAATCTTATATGACGTAGATGGGTTTCGTTTTTTGTTTAAGATTGGTTATAATTTGGCTTAGACCGGGGAAGAATTTAGGTTAGATACTTTTACTCAATTACGTTAAACCAATCTTAAACTTGAAAATGAGTGGAACTGTACAAGAAGCTACTAATACATTTACTGACATACTAATACTTGCAAATAGTTCAGAACAGAAATTTGGGAACATGCGTTGAACTTAGCAAAGCTGTAACTTGCTCTAAATTGTAAGTAGATTTTTCAAACACGCTTTGATATAATCTAATATGATAAATACTTGTGAAATATTCAACTTGACATATTTTCAGTTTTATTTTTAAAGTAACCAATCTTTCTCCACCTTCCAGAAGAAATGAGGATTAAAATAAGCTCACAGGCAAGAATTAAATCCTTAAAATAACTCAAAGATTTATATGGCTGTAAAACTACTGTGTATAATATTATTAATATCGAAATCTTAATCATGAGGAGTATTACAGTCATTTGTACCTACTATTGCAGCTGGAAACTGTACATTTTTTTGTTATTTAGACACTTTACAGTCTAAATAACCTTACTGCAAGTCAGTGTATGAATACTAAATTTGCCAAATTGGATTTAATAGTCTATAATAGAAGAGTGTAAGAAAACTGTATAAGTGTATATCCTGATTACAAACAACCTAGCTGATCTCAAAAACTGTAATATTTACAGTGATAAATAGCTTAAACCATTTTAAAGGACCAACCATTTTCGTCCAACGCATTTACATGGTTATGTAAGGTAATATTTTAGTTTTCCCTGTCATAATAGATATAACTTTACATACAGTATACTAGTTATGTTAACTTTATGACTACCTTGGCTAGCGAGAAGATATTATTAATTGACGTTAATTACAAAACCTTGGTATTTTTTGTACTTTTACTAATATCTTCTTAAATCATATACAACAAATAATACCTCTAATTACATTAAAAGCTAATTCCATTTATCAGGTTGGCATTTACCTGTTCTTCAAGTTCAACACCTAAAAAGTAATGTGGTAAAAAGAATAACAATTAATATACCGTTCGAATTGTTTTGACTAGATTAAACAAAAGGATAGCTACAACCAAATGCATTTGCATGAAAATTGGAGTTGTCAGCTTATTTGACAAGGGTAAATGCCCCAAATAAAAACAGTATTTAATCTTTGCCATGGGGATTACCCACTTAAAATGTCAACGCAGTTAGCAGGTGTAAGCCAATCCTAAAACAAACTTTTATAAAATATGGTCTAGCTTATCCTTGAATTTTTCAAATTTGGTAATCTCCTTTTACAAATTAACAATAATTAATGGCACAACTTTGTAAAATAGTAAAAAGTATGCTTAGCACTATTTGTTACATGTTTATATTTGGTAGTGTATAAGGGAGAGTATAACTGTTCTAAGTTTTCTAAACTTATAAAATATTCAACTTGATGTATTTCGAGTTTTATTTTAAAGTTACCAATTCTTTCTTCGCCTAAACAAAATCTAAACTTAGAACAGTTTTATTAAAAGTGTGTTATTAGTGTATATAAGCTGTATTGTGTAAACGGTTGACATTACTAGTTAGTAAAAATAAACATAATTTCAAAACTCTATATGAATTCCCATAGTACTTATGATATTCCTGGTATATGCATATAAAGTGAAAATAGTTCTAATACTCATCAAGGTAAAAAATTGATCACATCAAAATTGATCATGATTTTTAATCTAAGACAATAAACATCTGTTAGTAATCATTATTTTTAAAACAACGTTATGGATTAAATTATTTTGGATTTCCAAAAAAAGGTTTTGTAAGGATAAATCTAGTGTATTATTTTTTATAAATTGAGACATTTTAGGATGTTTGATTAGATTTTTGATAGAAATTTATGCACATTTCGAAACTATTCGAAATGTGCATAAATTTCTAAATAAAGGTTAATAAATAAAGGTTCAAATAAAGGTTAATGCAAAGTAATGCCTAATACGTCTTTGAAAGCCTTAGGAAAAGCTTATTGTTTCAGTAAGGTTCTTAGGTGGTGTTTCGTCTTCTGCTCCTGCAATAATCCGCTTTGTCTCAAGTTTACTGAATTGCTTGTTTTATATTCTAACACCTTTGAATTCCTAATGTGAACTCAGGAACACCTCTTGAAAGAACAATTTTTCAACTGTCATTAAAACTGGTGTTTTTTGGTAAATTCATAAAATAAAATGTATCATAAAAAGATGCACCTTTCAAGTGGTCAGTATTCTATTCCACGGGAAGGTATACGTGAAATATAAATATAATAGTTTCATTGAATTTTATTGTGTTTTTACAAACATCTCTTGAAAATATATGTCATGTAGCTGGTTAGCTGAGTGAACATAGTTTCTGGTCCCTTTTGAGAAAATTCAGAATATCTTTGATTGCTCGGAAACCAGCACACATTCATCATTGGGATTTTAATATATGCCTAAACAAAGAACCAATTGATCATAACCAGGAACAAAGCAGTTATCCTATGCATACAACACTCATCCTTCACTTATCGCCGTCTTAAAATACATATTCCAGGGATGTATAAATATAATATACTTAATCTTTCCAAGATTTGTAATCTATTGTACATCTTTTAATTGCATTGGCATTTTTCAAGATTTAATTTTGAATATCAAAGAGTACTACACTACTAAACAAAAATTATAAACATTAACTAAAAGTAAGAGAATTTTTCTAGAAAATCAGTAAAAACTATTTGTATCATAAACCAAGACATAAACTGGTCTTACTTTGATGGATTGAAAGAATCATTGTGTAATGTTAAAGGTGTTGAAAAAACATATAATTTGGTTCACAGATGAAGTATCTACAAAGACCGTACATTCAGTTGGTTACAAGGGAGGATTGGGGGGCGGTTCCCCCGCGCAAAAAGCCGGAGCTTCTCGAGCTTCCCGCCAAAATGCTGATGCTCTTTGACACACAGACTGAAGAGTGCAAGACTACAGCAGAATGCAAGAAAATTGTAAAACGGCTGCAAGACGAATACATGAATCTAAAAGGCTACCAGGACATTCCTTGGAAGTAAGAGGAGCGATTTTACTTTAATCGTCCGAAATTATATTTTTGAGCTTATAAATACTAAGTTTAACTAGACAAGGAAAATTTAAGGTTTCAAAATAACTGCTCCATCCCCTTCGACACACCTAAGTACTCTTTTAGAGCGTGGTACATAGTATTTTAGTTGCATCTAGTTTATTAGGTTTAAATTGGGAATCTCATGATGACAAATTTACACGTTTAAAAAGAATTAATGGAAATTTTTTGTAAAATCCGGGAATAGCTTAGTGGTTAATAAACAAGTATTTATAATCTAACATCTTTAGTTGACTTGTTGGGAAATAGACTTAATTTTATTCATTGGTTATCAAAAGACCAATTACCATAACGAGTAACTGCACAGTGCAATTCAATATAATATTGTGTCTTCAGTCTAAGGGAAACTCAATAAAGTAGACTAAATAATATATACATTAACTAAAATGTTTTAAACGTCGATCTTATGCTTCGAAAGAAACTACAGTACATGAATTATCCATATTACCAAGATATAAAGTTGAAAATCTTAAAATGACAATATAATATTGAAAACAGTTTGTTCAATGCGTTACGGACAAGATTTAGAAGCTTAGAGATTTAGAGATCTCGTAGTAAACTTAAAATATCTATAAGTACAAATGTAAGTCTTATTTCAGCTTTTTGATAGGGGCTGATGGAAAAGCGTATGAAGGGAGGGGTTGGAAAGCGAAGCCTTTCAAAACCAACCTGGGAAATGCAAAACAGGCCGAATGGGATGGAAGGAGCTTAGATGTCGCCTACATAGGAGACTATAGATGTGAGTAAGACCACAGATAATAGACCATTTTTTGTTCTAATTGTGGAAAGACATATTTGAAAATCACTATAGTTAAACAGTAGTTTTATTTGAGTGAAAATTCACAGGACCACCGCAATGCTAGAATGCTTGGTTAAAAAAATCCAGACCGGTGGCCATCGAGTTTGGACGGTTCAAGAAGCATCTACAGGAGATCGGTTTGTATGAAGGAGATCCATCGTGTAGGCCAGTAGAGACTGTGTATCTACTGATTACAGGAACTGCAATGGTGTAAGGAGGTTGGCCCAGGAAATTACTCAATATTGTAACCAGAGAAGGAGATTACGAGCAGACTGCAGCCAGTCATCAAGCTCAACATGGATGGCTCTCACCAAATTGAGGGCGCAATCTCCAATCCTGGAAGAAATGCTAAGAAACTTTGGTCCATCTTCTTTGTGAGATAATCTGGACTAACTAAATAATTATGAATATGTAATACTCGTACCTTTGAGACGAAGAAACAATCACGACCGTGAAAATAGGAAGAGAAGATAAATAAATAGTAATACGGATGAAAAAACAATGGAGGTAAATTAATGGATTTAAAGCAGAATTAATTAGTCGGGGTAGTGCGGGGTTTGTCCAATTTACATAGAAGGTGATATCAGTATAATCAAACTCATTTGAGCAAAACAACAAAACATAAGCAAGAAATCAAAAGTTGCTGGTAGGGAGCAATCATGGAATTTCAGGCAAAGTAAATAACCTACTATAGGTCATGAATAGTTTAACCTAAAACTGTTGAATTAACTCTCAAAAATATTTGTAAACATATATCACAATGTTTCCTATACTTGGTTAGTAGGAGAAGTTTTACCGTTGCCGTATGCGTTTTCTACGCTTAAAACCTTTCGTGAATTACTTATGATCAAAACTTGAATTTTTAGCATTCTGAAGACACATTTAATGTGTTTCAGATGACATAGAGGAAAAACCGGACGGCATATACCCAACAAATAAAGCTATAATTGCCGTGGAAAAGCTTACAGACCACCTTACTAGGAAGAATATTATTTGTTTTCAAACTTCTGGAGTTGAAGACTTTACGTATGACCTTGAAGCACACACATATGACTGAATTCGTAAATTATGTATACACTTTATATATGAAATACACTGTTGTTTATCTCTTTAAATATTTTAAATAAGTTTTTAATCTTTTCTATAATGTGTTTAATATTCATGGAAAATTAAAATAAGTAGAAATATAAAAGCATAATGAGCTAATCCAAGCATTCCATGTACAAAAGATTTACTCAGTCACCTTTATGCAATTCCAATAGACTAACCAGATTAACCGGGTGCTTAAAAATGGATCTAAAATACTGGGAAATGAGTGCAAACCCCATTTTTTGTTTTCTTACATGAAACGCTAAAACTACAGATTATAAAGAGATGCAAGAAAATATAAATAAGATGTAATTATATGTATTCACTCTGCATCTTTAAACCTCCAGTATTTCGTTTCTTGGGTTTAAGGTATTAGTACTCATAAAAGGGGATTGTATTGTTTTACAGACAATTTACTTAAAAAATTACGTACGGGTACCAACGAAACGTTTCTAAAGACCGGTAAAATTTGCATTTCAATAGTAAATATACTTTTTCATATTCTTTTTTCTAGTTAAAATACTAAAACATTTCTCAATTTTCGCTTTAGTGTGCTAGTGTTTTTCCAATGATTTTCATCCCTTCTATTCAGGCTATAATAGAGAAGCGAGCTGGTCAAGTGGTGGGGGCGGGGCTTCTGAGTCCTGGGTTCAAATCCTGCCAATAACCAAGATTTTGTATATGTGATAATATCACATCCCCTTAGAGCTCGCCTTAAGTGTTTATAGAGTTTTGAGCTAGAACCTATTGTCCTAGGATGTAAAGGCGGGCATAAAAAAACAAAAAAGTATTTATAGTTTTACTTATAAAAATATGCTGTAATTCTAAAATACATTCTTTCCCTCGCTTTATACGCTAAAGTCACTACATTTTGCTTCCTTATCATGTACCACTCATTTAACCTACATTTATGTAAGGCTATATATCAACAGAACATACAAGCTGCATAGTTAACAGACTTTAAAATATTACAGATAACCTTCCAGAAGGTGGCTCGTCTCAAATGACGATCAACTTGATACAATTGCTAAGAGAGATGAAGGCTCTTGATCCTACACAACTGCAGATGTACAGCTTTATGATACAGACTAGTTGACAGACTTGGCTTCATGATACAGAATATTTGAGCTTTTTAGCTTTATTGTAATTGTAGTTAAGCTACATAGCTTTCTGTTACTTACTAGTTCAGTTTCATAGCTTTTGTTGTCCATAGTAGTTAAGATATGTATCTTTCTGGTACAGTACATACTAGTTCAGTTTCATTGCTTTCTTGTCCATACTATTTGAGCCACATAGCTTTTTGGTCAACACTAGTTGAGCTACATAGCTTTTTGGTCTACACTAGTTGATCTACATAGCTTTTTTAAATGAGAACTTTTAAAAATAAAACTATTTTAATTAATGAATGGTTCATTTGTATTATTTTCGTTGTTGTGTTAATGCATATACGACTGACTTTAGTGGTATTGCAAAGTACAAAATGCTGTTTGGTTACACATCTTTCCCTATTATTAATTTTTAATTAATGTTTTATCCTGAATGTATGTGTTCCTAACCGTTAAGAACTGTTGTTGATGGTAGGAACGGTTTTGGATAAACAACTAGTTCATTAAACATCTACGGGTTGTTGATATCCAAGCCTAAACTATTAACTCAAATATTTTCACATCACACCTAATGCTTTGTCAAAAATCTAACAATTTATAAAATATAGGTATCATTATATCATTAGTTCAGCACTTTTTAAAACTAGGTAACATCTTCAAAAACTTGAGCTCAGTCCATTTTCGACTTATATTTGTTAACATTGTACATACATGAATGATTTCGGTTTGTAACCAGTTGTAAATACAGTAAAAATGTTTGAAAGACATTTTCTAGTATAAGTTAATTTTTCCCTGTTGGTTTTTAGTATGCCCTATTTCCATTTGGAACAAAATTGTTGTTCATATGAATCAGTATCAGCTATGACCACTTCTGTGACAAATTATGAACAACTGGTATATGCAAGGTGTAATGTTGATTTACGATCAGCTGTCCTGGTTTCTTATAAACACGTCATACATGAAACAATAACAAACTTACTTTTAATTGTAGTACAATTTAAACATAACCCCTATAATCCTCGCTTTGTTTAAGTAGTAAATTGAGTTATAGTATTAGGAAACGTAAACATTTGGTCTCAACCTTATCTTTAAAAAAACGTTGAAGGCCATTGAGATGAGGTCCTGCCTGAAATTGTCCAACGCATTTCCTAGTATCTATTTACAACTAATGTTTCAAATGTTATCTGAATCCAATTAGGAAACCCAATTTATCTTAGACCATGGTAAAACAAATTTTTACCCTATAAAATCCAATTCCCATGGTCCAATTATGCTAGTTCGCGACCCCTTTGAATAAAATTTGGCTTACACGTTTGTACCAGCTTTCATCAAAATATGATAATTTTTACACAACTAATCCTGATAACAGACTCAACTACATAAACTTATATATAAATTAATTAGAATAAGTGCTTTGGCCTCTGGGTACCTCAAATAAAAAAGTAAAACGAACCGGGTAAAGGTCGTATCATGAGACCTGAGCCAATAGCATATTCTCTTAATGGGAAATCGACTATAAGGAGGCAATGAAAAAAAAAACACAACGTTAAAATAATCTACAGAATTTTCTTACTCATTGAATATTTATAAACATTATGTTATGTCTGATAATATTATCTTAATGTTACTTAATGATGTGTTAATGTTATACACTGTATCATTATTTATAGGGTGAAGATATTTATGGATATTTTCCTAACCTATTTGTCATGTCAAAAAGAAAGCTAGTTTTGTTTACAATAATATTTTGTAAACTATTAAACCCCAAACAATATACAGAAACTTACCATGGATCTTTAATGCTAAAGACTTGACGAAACTTCCTCAGGAACAATGTTTTAAAGTAGTCTTTTAATAGAGTTACAGTGAGATGGTGTAGGATCAGGTAAGTTTGAGGTATTTCTGTATCATAAAAAGCTGTTCAATAGATTTTTACATACGCTAATAAACCGTTTTTAGTTTGTAACTTTAATTAGAAAGAGGAATAGATATTAATTGATGGTTAGAGAGCTAGTTAATCAAAATAAAATAATTTCTATGACATATTTTTATAACAGCACAGCTTAAATTTGCTAATTTGATTATATAAAAATATAAACTAATAAAAGTAGTTTCAGATCATTACCAATGTTTTCAAGAATAAAAATATTAAAAAATACTAATAAATACTAAAAAGTTCATAATAAAAACATAATGAATATTACTCAAATTAAATATACATATAAAATTAATTTAAAATTACTTTAAATTTAATCTTAATGCAGAAGAAAAAGTGTTAAGAAACAAATAAATGTTTAGAACTAATTAAAATATTGCAAACATAGGAAAGACTTTTTTAGATTTTTAGTAGTTGATAGATTTAAAATTTAATCAATTTCATTTTAAAACAGACTCTTTATGTTTTTACTGACAAATTGTATGCTACTTGAAGTGAATTTTAAAGATTTTTGTCATTAATCATCACAGAAATTTATTTCAACAATGTTTACTTTTAGGTCAAGTTAACTTTCAAAATTTTGAAAAATGATTGATATTCAAATATCACATTTGATGATCTTATCTAGAAATAAACAACTACTAGAGAAAAAATGTTAAACGTAAGTAAAATATTTATATAATACTACTTCACTCTTTTGAATAAAGTACAGAACATAGTGTAAAACTAGTTTAAAGATTTTTTATAAATTAACAGACTCAATCATTTCCTCGTAGTGAATGGCAAGGCTGTACATAAATTATAATTTTAAAAACATTGACTTCATGAAAACAAGATTATTATTATCTATTTAATACTTACATATAGCACTATTCATTTTGTAAGATTTAAAAATATTGGTATAACAGTTGTGTACACACTATTTAGAGTAGTTTAAAAATATTTAATGTACAATTAAAAATATTGTAATTTTTTACTTGAATTTGTAAATAGTAGACCCATGTCAAATACACTAATAAATCACGTGGTACTTTTTAGTATAAAACTGTGATACTTGAATGAAATATTCATAAGCTTCCAGATCAAAACTGCTAGAAAATAGGCCGGACTAAGACGTACAGGCCTGGCTTGGAACACATCAATAACATATACATTTATCCAAATTTCAAAAAATGGATTTAATTCATACCTGTGATTTATTTTAGTCAGTCAAAAAATACCCTCATCCAGTGATCAAATACATATCTAGAGAGCAATGGGGGGCAAGACCACCTAAAACACCTCCAGAAAATCTCAAAATACCTGTTCTGACGCTTCACGTATATGATACCAGGACCAAAGACTGTAAAACAAAAGAGGAATGCATGAAAACCGTTCAAGATCTTCAGAACGAGTACATGTTTTATCGCGGATTCGATGACATACCTTGGAAGTAAGTAGATTTCTCGCCCTTAAACTTTGGGGCTTGGCTAGTTAGTGGTTAAAGCGAGAGACTTTTCTCCTTCAGGGCCATTTTGAAATCAATCCTACTAATCACAAAGATTTCATTGCATGATAATTAATATGGTAATACAGTGGCTCAAAGTTCATGTGTCTAATGTTATTTCAATAGTTGTTTTATACTCACAAACTGTAAGTATTCTAGTCATTTTATGGATTGCATGGTAATTTCTGTTAGAAGTAAGGAGTAAATATTTGCTAATGAAAGCCTTTAAGATTTGACCAAGCACCTAGTTTCTATTCCTTATCGGTGGTGGAATCAGACTGTGCAAACTTCGTCTTCTGTAATAATCTTTTGCTAAAACTATTCCTTGCCACTAATGACAGTGTAAGATATTATCTAAGGATAAGGATATTGTATTAAGAAAAAGGTAGCAAATAAAATCATCAGTGAACACGAAAGTGAATACTAGTAGTTGTGTCACTTATTGGGACACAGACCAACTAATTTGACAATTAATGTCTTCAAAACGTTGTTACTTGCGAGTATTTCTCCATGTATGATTATAACCCTTAGATTTTAATTCAATATGACATAAAAAAAATACTGTTTATGTATTTGTTTAGCTTCCTCATAGGAAAAGATGGGAACATTTATGAGGGTAGAGGATTCAAGGTCAAACCAATAAAAACTGACCTTGATCATCCAAGACAGAAGAAATGGGATGGCAAGAGTATCGATGTAGCCTATATTGGAGACTATAGAAGTAAGTTTTGGCTTTATAGTTACCTCAATTTAAGCAGGAGCTATCCCAATTCATCTTTTAAACTGTTGAATAAATCTATTTACCGTTAGTAGTATTGGAGTACAGATATGAACATATATTTAACTGAAAAAAATACATTCTACGTAAATAAGAGTCCCTATGTCATGTCAAACCACTATTTATACCCTTATTGTGCTATAAATATGTTTACTAAATGTTACTATTAGAATGCATTTAATAGATTACCTACTTCAAGCTAAAGAGCCGAGACAAGCATTGCGCCCCCAACACGTGTTTAAAGATCATAGAACAAACTTTTGTATGGTAGTACTCTTCAGTCGTCTGCAATATGTTAGATTAGTTTAACTTAACTGTTTTAGAATTTTGGAACTAACAGACATTGAAAATGTATTATTAAATTAGTTGTTTTGATTTTAAACATGACTAAAAGTTAAACAATTAAACCGTATATTGACTGAACGATTATTTTATGCCTGATAATGTTTCACAATACTTTTTATGTTTTCACAATTATTGATGATACAGATAAATTGATGTCGTACTAATTTATAAAACTGTTCATGGAAATCCGTTTATGAAATTAAACTATCATTAGGTCAACTGATTTATACTTGTCTCATCAGATCAAAAATAACATATTCACTATCTTATTCGGTAAAAAAAGTAAAAACAGTACTAAAAACGTACGTTGTATACTTAAGTTTTATCTAGAGATTATTTTTTCAGCCCTGACTTTAATATTAGACTTCATAAGATTTTAACCTACTGTAACAGCAGAGAATGCCACATTTTGTAAAACTAGCTTTATATCTAAAGAGATCCCGTTGTTTTTTAACAGTCACTATTATCAATATAAACAATGGACCTCTTTCATAGAAGTATTCAGATACTTACAGTATTCCTCATTGAAAACGATTGATTAGTTAATGAACCATAATTGGCAGATAACTAACTATGCGTGTTGTTTCAGAAAAAAGCGCGAGCCTAAAAATGTCCGTTCCTCTGACAGGACTGATCGTAGAAACAGACCGTCTCGGAGTTATGGTTACTTACTTCAAACTCGTCATGTTTGTAAAGAAAGCTAGAGACTGGAAAACAAGATTTATTGAATCCGAGTTTCCAGAAGAATTACGTTAAAACACTTAAAAGTATATTTGCAGTCTAAGCGAGTTGAAGTGAGTTTACACACGTTAAGTAAATCATGGTGGTTTTGTATACAGACATGTGCTTAACTTTATTAATTTATTTTATAATAAATATCCCACGTTTGGCTGAATAGCTGCATTTGGTAGAGTAGGAAAAAGATATGTTACTGTATTTAGAAACTACTTACAGTTATTATAGTGTATCAATGTTTAACTGGTAATAAAATATAAAAAACAACTCCTGAACAATGTTTAACAATCCAGATTCATTTAACTTTGACAAAGCTTAGATACGTAGCTACCATATTACTGGTCTATAGATTATTGATTAGTATCTCACTACGTACACAAATAAAACTAATAAAATCCCACCACAATAACACCATCTCCACAATATTGTATCTTGCAGTACTTAAAGTAAAGATTTATCCAATAGATATTATAATATCTTGTGGTTAAGCTGAGAAACCCATAAAAGAAGGTACACACTATCCATTACCTATAAACACATTTGCAGATAAGAAAGTAGGCAAAAGGTTTTACATCTTGTATTCTTGTTGCAGGGAGTAATCCGAAATTGAAAGTTAAATTAGCATGTGACTACTTATACTTCATTCTGGATGATAAAAAACATATAACTTTTGGAAGATCTAAACTTGAGGACTTTACTATGACACCCGAAAAGAATTTGGTGGAAGATTAGAAGATTTGAAATTTGCATTATTGATATAAGAGAACGTGAAACTATAAACATATGGAACTATAAACATTGTAGTATAAAAAGCAAACAGATTCTTCTTTTTTTTGGTTTATGACCTACTGTGAACTACTGTTGAAGCCGAAATAGATAAGTGGGGAAGTATACTACAAAAAATAACACTGATCAATAAATTGCCCACAAAATAAGTTACAAACATAACATTCTTCTTGATGTACTGATAAATTCCTAAATATTTATTCAAAAGGGTTGGTATTAAAAATCTAAATTGTTCGTAAACAGTTTATTTGTATTGTGCATTTTCTATCAGTATTGTTTAGTTTTAGGTATGAAATCTGGTACATACTCAAATATAGTACAAACAACTACTGTAGTTAATATTTCATTCTTTATAAGAATAAATATTTGTAAATATATGTTCTATAAAATTCTATCACAATGTTGACAATTTCCTCCTTATACAAGCGGCCATCTATCTATACTATTAATACACTACATAGAACAAAAGTCCCTTGGGCACTCCCAAGTGACTTTTAAAGTACCCAAGTTATCCCTTATGAACAATATATATGTTTACATTATGATCAGCTTGATTTTTTATTTTTAACTTAAGGAAACGTGAACTACAAACATTTACTGCCTTGATTGAAATAAAACATTTACTATTTGAATTTGGGTTGGCGTAAATATTACAATGGAAAAAGCGAGGAAGCCTGGACAGTTTGATATACTAAAAAGAAAACTGAATTTACACTGTGCTGCATTTCTTGAGCAATCATTGTAAGAGCCAATTCGCAAACTATAAAAATATAGGAAAGTCATGTCAGAACACCACCAAGTAGGAAAGTTAGAAATAATTTTTTTTTCGTTTTTATGGACAACCTAATGCGGCTATAAGTGGGAAATATTTGTAGAAAACACAAAAATCACTATAAACTTTTGAAAAATTATATTTACAAGAAATGTTGATTAAACCATCTTTTATTCGCATCGTAAGTATTTTCATAATCTTTGAGTCAACTTTTCCAAAGTCATCGGAAAATATTACTGTTATTCTTTTAAAAGTCTCTATTTACTATATAGTCTATTTATTATATAGTCTCTATTTACTTGTTACTTGTTAATTGTTGTTCATTAATTATGTTCTTGCTGTTACCACTCACTGTTGCATGTATTTTGCCATCTTTCAATATTGCATACATTCTTGTAAACTGGTGTAAACCGTTGGGAAATAAATAAATAAATAAAAATAACGCCTGTAATACTTCGCAATTGCTCGGGTTCGAGCAATAGGTGCACTGGACAATCTTAATTTGAAACAAAAACCACAACACAGAATGGTTTTATATTTATTAGACATTAGGAACGGTTCAACCAGAAAATTGGAATAGTAAAAATGATAGCCACAAAATCAGAAAAAATAACTAGTGTTATATAACAAAAAATCTCTCCTTTGTCTTTTTAATGGTTGCATTACAGGAGCACTATACAATCTTAATTTGACACAAAAACCACAACACAGAATGGTTTTATATTTATTAGGCATTTAGAAGGGTTCAACCAGAAAATTGGAATAGTAAAAATGATAGCCACAAAATCAGAAAAAAATCACTAGTGTTATATTATAAAAAATCTCTCCTTTGTCTTTTTAATGGTTGCATTACTTGAACCAGTACCAACTTAACCAACTTAATCATTAATTCATTAATGATAATTCTTTTTTTTAATGCCTAGCTGGAAAAATATTGTGCATTTAGCTGAACAAATTAATGATCTTGTTGTGTAATAGAGTTATTTACATCTTTTCATATGCAATTATTTCAACGCTTTCGTCAAACGTATTAGAATGATGATACATAAAATAATATGAAATATTGTATGTTGTGAGTGAAAGTCTATTGCCAAATTTCTAAGAAAACTAAAATTTCTGTTAGCTTTTTTTCGTAGTTCATACTTTTATTATAAAATAAACTTACTTGCTCAAAAACCTTTTAAGATCAACAACATTTTTTGCACTCACCACTTACAGTTCAACGGTAGCAATCTTATCGATACTGATTACATATTATACATACAAATAAATACATAACTCAAAATCACACTAGTAAGCCTCAAAGCTTGAATATAACACAACGCGTTTCAGATGGATTTAATACTAACTTGAAATACAGGTGGGATTCAAAATAACCATTTTATACTTTGATAGTGTGACTTAATTTTACTTCTCTACACATAATGCTTTTCACATTTTGAATTGCATATTGCATTCAGTAATTAACTATGTTAATACCTTTTACCGTTAAAGGAACACTTAAAGGAGTAATAGTTAAGCCAAGACTGCTTTAGGTTTACATTTAATTATGAAGGCATTGAACTTGAAGCATTTAAGATATCACTAACATAAAATGAAACATAAGTTGAAACATAAGAAACATAAGACATCATAAAACATAAGACTTTTATCAAGTAGAATATTAATGTAAGTTTTCATTTTAAAATATGTTAAGTCATATGTAAAAAGACTGTTGTTCGATTTATCTTAAATATATTTTTTTATTTTGTATTATTATTCTTTCGATATTCATATAGATTATTTCAAATGAAGAGTAGTTTCTTCCTAATGTAATGATTCATTAGTTGACGAAATTAAGCCCCTTACTTCCTACAAAAGTAATATTAAGTAAATATTTCAAATAAACTGCTTACGATGAATTAGACTATAGTTATTTAATTAGCTATAAACGTTCATTGGGACCTTGGAAGGCTAATTATATTATTTTAATAGCGTAAATTTGCCGTTTTTCATTTAATTTTAGAGCTTTCCAGCATTTAGTTAGATTTTGTCATAACTATTGCTAACATTCTTTGTATCATCCAGATTATGAAGAATCACTACAAGGCACAGGCAATAATCTTCAAGGTAAACTCAAGGTCAAAAGAAGATTGATCGGAGGACAAAACTAAAATAAATTCACTCAAGGATTGAAAAAAGCTGAAACTGAAAGATGGAGGAAGACCAAGAAACAAAAGAGGGAGTAGTGAAGATAATAAGACCCGAAGGTGAATTAGAAGAGTCAACCGAGTTTTTGGTTAGTGAGGAGTTTGATCACTTGGTAAAAAAGTTGCACCCTGAAAAAACATTACCCCCCTCTTTAGTTACTCGCGAGAAATGGGGCGCTGTGCCCCCAAAATATAGAGAACCCCTTTGTACCCCCGCCAAATTTGTGTATATAATGGACACCAGGTCGGAATTCTGCACTTGTGAAGAGTCTTGTAGCATTGTGCTAAAGAAACTTCAGCACCACTATATGGAGGAAAAGGGTCTACCGGACATACCATGGAAGTGAGTATACAATTCGTTTGTTTTATTAAATATTACACTTTTGATTCTGTTTAGAAACTTATTGTATTCTATGCTGGCCAAAGTCTACAAGCTCGTTCCCCTTGAAATTAAAATCTATAATTATTAAACCAAACAATCATGACTACTTCAAACCCAAAGTTTTAAAGAATTGAAGGATGTGGCCAAAACTTCAAGGTCTGAGAAACTTCTCAAATATTTCTTATAGAACTACTTAATAATGAGCTAAGAGCTTGAAATGGTAAGCTCTCTCTTAGACGTAAGATTAAAGACTAAATAAGTGAAGCAACTAAATTATTTTATACCAGACGAAATTTTATAGTTTTTATTTAAAGTCTAAAAAAAAAAATGGTTATTTAAAGCTTTCTATATCTGATTGTGAATTCAAACCCCTTAATTCCGAATGTAGAAGGTAATTTGTTATGGAAACTTAACTCACCAATTATTTCAGTATTAATACCAAAAAGGGTAGGATGTTGACAGGTTTCGGTTCTAAACAAAATATATATGTGAGCTTGTGTTTTGTGTTGGCATGTACAATAAATTTTTGTTTTAGTTTGTGCGTTTACGTCTGCCACGTTTTACCTTTTCTAAAAATAAGCATAGAGAAAAGTTATATAGAGGTCTTTGTGATAAGACCCTGTTTGACAAAAATATCATGTGACATTTCTGACACGTTGTAACAACTTTTTGATAAAACTCCAGTTTAATATTGTTGCTAAAACAATGTCATTTCCCGAGATGGCCATTCGACAACATTCTTTTATATCGGAAGCCTACCTTCTAGTGTAACATTTTTGCTTACAGGTGGTCTGTAACTGTTTCAGCTTCCTGATTGGAGAGGATGGACGGGTTTATGAGGGGAGGGGGTGGGTTACAAATCCCAGCAAAGTTTTACCAGAGACGCAGGAATATGATTGCAGATCTCTAGACATCGCGTATATAGGCAACTACCAAGGTAAGTGTCATGTGTTAACAACCAACCATGCTAGACAACAATATTGGTTCATATAAATCATCCTCTTTGCTATAAACCCCCTCCTTAACCCCCTCAAGCCTTTCTTCCCCTTCCCCTTTAGCTCATGATAGTCAAATAACTCAGTTGTCAGAATTCCTTCATGAAAACCACGTCTTCGAATCCATTGATCAGCGAGAACAAAACGTGCAGCAGTATATTGATAGATTGTACATTAAACCATAGATGATTAAACCTACCAATATGGTTGACACCAAAAAATTTAAAGGGTAATTATCTGACAATCGAAGAATTAGTTTTGTTAATGAACGCTATCAGCAAGCTTACACAAATTCTCCCACCAGCCTGACATTAAGAATTAAAATTTTACCATATAAGTAGACAAATTTAAGTGGAGGGTGCAGATTAAAGGTTTTATGGAGAAAATCACAGTGATTACAATAGTTCCACTTATGAACCTTAATTTTGACAGATTTGCTGGTTGAGCCATTTTGTAGAAAGTTAAAAACAATTTAACATAATAAATATCAAACAAAATCGATAAAGTTTTTGAAAATCTGATTATCCGTATTTCTTTGGGGTTTCAGGGAAATCACTATTAAAAATGTGAATTTAAAAAAGAAATGGCTGGAGAAACCAAAGGTTAATATCCACATAACAGATGTCGTTAAAATCAGATTGCATGTGAAGTAGTATTGTACAAATCCACACACACACATCCACACGGCTAGGAGACAATTTGAAAACAATTTTTTGGGTTCGCTGAGACATTTTACTATAGTTTGGTTTTATAACTTAATGTTTCAGCTAAACTGCCGAGCCATGAGATGACCATGACGATGGACAAATTAGTAGTCATTGGACAAGAAAAGAACATCATTGATTGGGAGTATGAATACAAGTCAGAATTATTGAATGACTTTGTAGAACCACCATTGGAGAGTAAACCATAGTTCTAAAAAACGTTTCATTTTTTTCTCCTTTACTGATTTTAAAATATTGATGTTTCAGCTACTATTCCAGGAATCTCTGTATCCAACGCCACAATGAATTTTCTTGGTTTCAGCAAGCACAACAACTTCTTGACTGAAAAGTATAAAATTAAAAGCTTTCTTTTGAACGATCCCAAAGATTAGAGTATATTTCATATAGTTTGTAGTTTAATGTCCTTATAATAAATATTAGCAATTATATATTATATGTTGAAGATATAACACCTTTTTCAAGAACTGAACAAGACTAACTTACATATTCACTTATAACAAACCTCAACTATTCCACAAATACGAAATCACCTGACTAAAAAGTAGAAAAATACAAAATTACAAACATAGTAATATTCAATTTGTATCTCAATATTTATTAACAAAAGAAATTTGTATCATATACCATAGAAAATCTTTTTGGCATGTTACAAATAATCAGCGTCCATGGCTTGAAAGATTAAAAAGTTATAAAGCTTATACAGTACTTTGAAGCCTATATGGGAATTTGCGAAATATCTTGACACAGACTCTCTCTATGGTTTATTGTTAGTAATAAATCTAGTGAACTTCTAAGCTTCTACCCAAATCTAACAAGAACACTTTTGACTGTGGATTTTATGGCAGTCAAGCGAATAGGTTTATAGGGATTTAAAAGGGAACTGCTGTGTGTAATTCGTTCTATGTTGGTAAATGGAATTATAATTTAACTTTACTTTTTATGAAATAATCTAAAATACCTCCCATCATATTCTAAACCAGTGTTCCTTTTCCTAGAGGTAGGGGAGGGGATATTAGCCCCGTTTACCTTGAGAAATGGAGTAGGGATGGTTCTGAATAATAATATAAGCAAGTTTCTCGAGGGGCAAGGATTCATATTAAGAAGTAAAACTTTATAGAAATTGTCATTTGGTTTATTGTAGCCCCTCGTCCATTGACCTTTGATGAATATGTTGGATATAGGTGATCTCGTGATCAAAGGTCATAATATCAAACTAATCCCAAAGTGTAGAGTTAGTAGAGCGGAGTCATACATTTGATGATGGTTCTTTTACTTTTCTTCATGATATCCGGTCAATACCGATTCTGGTTAGGTGAGTTCAGGTTAACAGAGCAATGTTGATTGTTTTTCACAGGCACAAGTTGTTTGAACTAAAAATAGCAATGACCATGTTTTCTATTTAGCGTACTTCTATAGTTTACTCAACACTAATTGATTTGATCATCTGATTGTTAAGACTGTGAATGTTACTAATCCTTGCAACGGTAAGAAGAGCTTGAGGTTTTGGAGCCCGAGGTCCCAAGTTCAAATCTGGCCAATCACCAATGGATGTTATCTAAGTGATAATGCTGCGACCCTCTAGGACTATACTGCACTACTGTGTTAAACAGTTTCAGGCTTAAACCTAGTGCCCTAGGATGTAAAGGTTGGACATAGAAAAGGAATAAAAAACTAATAGATGTAAGCATTATTCTTTGAAGCGCCTGGCCAATATTTTTAAGTTATGTAAGAATTTTAATCGACCATGCTACTAGTTTGACAAACTAAATTTTATTTCGAATTATCTAATACATAGTGTAAGTGTCTTCAACTCTTACATTATTTTAATCTAGAACTATATATTATCTCATTTGTTGAAGCCACACTAATCGTTACATAATATATACATATCTCTATAACAGTGTGTTGATCCTCGTAAAAATAAGACTGTACAAAAACTTCCTTAGTTCTATTTTATGTGAACTCTTTTTTGTGTAGTGATCTAGTCTAACATCTTTACAATATTTTAACTTAAAATTGATCCTTGAGATCTTAATATATTTTTTTAGCAAACAGTATGGATAAGCCTTCCGATGAGCCTCACGAACGATTGAATAAAGGCGTACCTCTTCATACAACTTATGAACAAAATGGTAAGGATAGTGAAATTAACAATAGGTAATTGTTTTTTGTAAGAGTTTATTGCTTTATTTTTGTGTTTTTTCTTGTCATCTTAACTGGTAAAAACCCCCATAGATCAAACATAATTTACTTACGAAAATTTTGAATTTGTACACCGGATTTTGCAGTTCTCTGTAAAATTATTGTTAATTTTGTATATGCTTAGTATTTGTTCTGATATACCTTTACTTGCATAACATCATGGATGTAATGTTACATATACTATTATTGCAAATATTAAGGTATCCCTGTATGTTTATGTAGAGAAAGATTATGTAATTCAATAAAAGAGCGATTTTATGAATTGATTTAAATTGTTCGGTGTAACTTGTAGTTTTCTCAAATGTTCATGGGTACCGGTACTTTTGGCTTTATATATAGATTTCGACAAAAATGCTAGGGAACGAACGTATCTTACTATGATGTTATAGCTATACATAAGATGACGCTATAATATTTTGTAGACGCTACGTGGTATGGGGTGAGAGACAAGTATGCTAATGTGGAACCTGATGATGAACCTAAACGAAAGAGGTCACATAAGGAATGGAGTGATAGATTGTATCCAAAGCAAAACGATGAAGATGAGGTCTTCCGTGGATTCTCCCCACGGCATGCGAACCCGAAGAGCTATGAAGAGCATGTAGACTGGGTGAGCTATAGGTAAATGACATATTGGTCACTAAGATAAAAGATTAGATATTTTTTTATGTCACAATCAATAAATTGTAATACTTTTTTGGAAGTCTTTCCACACTAATCCTCAGAGTGTATGGGGAAGTCATAATTGTCACTCACATAATCGTCCTTCAAATTGACAATACCAAATTCATACCGGTAACGTAAATAAGCTACAAAAATGGCATTTAAAATATACATGTATACATTGATTTCAAAAACAAAAACAGTAGGTAAATGGAATTAAGAAAAACAAGGACATCAAAAGTATGAATTTATTGGCAATTTTCGGCTGTTAGTAAGAAATAACAGTTAAAAACCTACCAATCACGTTGTCCATCTAACACAATTTATAACAGAAATGACATTCTTTGTTCTGATCTATTCTTTGTTCTGTAATGTCTACTACTATCTAATTGCTCCTTGAACCATGGTTGTATGTATTGAATGCCTACTCAACAATTAAATGGACTTTAAATAAATTATTTTTTCAGCCACAAACCTGCAAAAGTTGTAAATATAGTAACCAGAGAGAGCTGGGGAGCGGTTGAACCTTTGTCCGAGGATTTTGTCCAAGGACCTCCATTGTCTAAGGTCGTCCTCTTCTACACAGGCATGGAGCCTTGCTTTACCAAGGAGGAATGCTGTGTAGTAATGAGAAAGATGCAAAAGATCTACATGGAGGAATGGCATCTGTCTGATATACCTTGGAAGTAAGTGGTGAGTCGTCAATATAAAGTATATAGATTCTTACTTCTTAACTTCTGCTTCTTAACTTGAGCAAACCTTATTGTAGGCCAGTCAAATTGGACAATAAAATCGCAAAGCGTGATGTATTGCTGCATTTTTAATATGTTGTTGGGACCCGTTAGGGTAACTCAAAACCAAGTTTGCAGCTTCGAGATCCCTGTGCTCCCTGCGTAATAAGTAAAATATTACAAAATTAATGTATTTTTTTAAGTTTTTGGTTTATAACTTATAAACAGTGCATTTTTCTTAATACTACTCAAATGTAATAATTAAAGTAGATAAAATATCCAACAGTTTAAGCATAGTTTCATTTTTGTGTGTCAAATAGTTTTTGAGCAATGATTTTTCAAATATTACAATTATTTTTAAGTAATTACCATAATTTACATTTTTTCTGGGTTGGACCCACAAAAATTGTGTATGTTGTATTAAGTCTGTTCTTTTATCATGTGTTTAAATATGTTTGTTGTCAGATGTTTTTGTAAACATTAGTTTAGTTTGAAAATAGAGTTTGTTCAAGCAAGATGTGTGAATAATATTCTTGTATAAGAAATAGAACATGGTGGCAGCTTAGTGGATTTTTTATCGAACAAAGTCTAAAACCACGCATGATGTCAAGTAAGGGCAGAAAAAAACGAAATACTCGTAGGCAAAGGTATGAGGACAATGAGGAGGATGCCCAAAGTGAATTCAACTACATGTCAGAAAGGGATTCTAGAAAGACTGAAGGTGAGTCACTAGGTTTTGCATTGGGACAGACAAACCGAGAAAATAATGCAGTAATGTGTACTCCTACTCCTATGATAAATCTGACGTTACCAACTCCAGATACCTTCTCTTTTACTCCGAATGAGTGGCATTCCTGGAGGAATCGCTTTCAAAGGTACAGACGGGGGTGCGGTCTAGATAGCACTTCCGACGCTCGGCAAATCGATGTACTTTTGTTTACAATGGGTAGTAGGAGTGAAGATATTTTCGATTCGTTTTCACCAAAACCGAATACTTATGACGAGGCTCTTCGGGCCTTTGATGCATACTTTGTGCCAAGACGAAATATCATTTATGAGAGAACAAAATTTCTGAGACACAAGCAAGGGAGTGATCCATCTGAAAAATTCATAACAGATTTGCATGGTCTTGCAAAAACGTGTGCATGGGGTGAACTGAACGATGAGATGGTGCTTCTGGTCCTCATTATTGGTATGAAAGATGAGGCTCTAAGTGATAGACTCCAGCTGGACTCTCAATTGACTCTGGAGAAGGCGATTAATACCTTGCGCCAACACGAGGAGCTAGAACGCCAAAAACATGAGCTCGCCAATACTAATGTTTTTATGGTGAATCAAACGTCAATACAAGTCGGTAAAACAAATCTGTCTGAAAGAGCTGGTGAACAGAAATTAACCGAGGATGCTATGAGAAAAAAGTGCAGGAAATGTGGTTATAACTGGCACGGATCACTGGCCGAATGCCCTGCTAGGAAAGCCAAATGTGACAAATGTTCCGAGATTGGACATTTTTTTCGATGTTGTCCCTCCCGCGAAAAGTGGATGAGAAAAAACAAAAACGTTGTTAAGGAAATTGAACAGCAAGATTCAGACAGTGGTTATCAACAGGTTCCTGAGATTTTCATAGGGAATATAGACAGCAGTGACAAAGCCTGGGTCCAGGAGGTAAAAGCAAGCTGTGGAAACCAAGATTTAGGTCTTATAAAATTTAAACTTGACACAGCAGCTGATGTAACCATGATTCCAGTAGGAGTTCTTGGTGATTTTATTAAGACTCTGCCTCTAGGAAAGTGCAAATCCCCTGTGTTTAGCGCAAAGAAGAAAGAACGAATCAATATTTTGGGAACTTTAAGGCTAAAGCTTAAACATAAGGGTGTATCAGTTTATGATCTTGCGTATATTTCTGAGGAGATCACTGTTCCACTTCTTAGCAGACGTTCCTGTGAAGAGCTGAACCTGGTGAGGAGAATTTTTTCTGTAGATTCACATGATATTGACTGGGCTACTAAGTATCCTAATTTATTTCAAGGGCTGGGAAATATGAAAGGAGAGTACAAGATTGAAATGAAGGAGAATGAAGTTCCTTACGCTATATCCACCCCCAGGGTTGTACCAATACCTTTAAAAACCAAGGTGAAAGAGCAGTTAGACGATATGCTTGAGAAAGGAGTGATTGTTCCAGTTGAACACGCGACTGATTGGTGCGCACCAATGGTAGTTTGCGCAAAAAAGGGAGGTGGGGTTAGGATCTGCGTAGACCTATCCAAACTCAACAACAGTGTGAAACGTCGGTTTTATCCTATCCCAAAGATCGAACTTTCATTGGCCGAGATCGCGGGAGCCAAGTACTTCAGCAAGATCGATGCGAATTCCGGGTTCTGGCAACTGAACCTTGCAGAGGAGTCACAAGATTACACAACATTTATCACCCCTTTTGGGAGGTATAAATTCCGTAAGTTACCTTTTGGAATTACGTCCGCTCCTGAAGAGTTTCAGCGCCGCATGTCAAAAGCTTTAGAAGGGGCAAAGAACTGTTTAGTGCACATTGACGACTGTCTGATATGGGGAAGAACGAAAGAAGAACACGACGAGTGTCTTAGGGCCGTTCTAGAGAGAGTGCAAGCTAATGGAATCACCTTGAATAAGCAGAAGTCGGAGTTCTGCAAGAAGACTGTGACATTTCTGGGGTTTGTGCTGTCTAAGGACGGAATCAAGCCTGATCCAAGCAAGGTACAAGCGATTGTGGACTTACTAGCTCCAAGAAACGCTAATGAAGTACAAAGATTCATGGGCATGATCACTTTTCTGGCAAAATTTATTCCGAACCGCAGTGAGATTTTGGAGCCAATTACGAGCTTGTTAAAGACTAAAAACGATTTCCTTTGGGGACCAGCTCAAGAAAACGCTTTTGTCACAGTAAAACAGATTTTATCATCAGAGCCATGTTTGACTGTTTACGATCCGCAAAAACCCTCGATTCTTTCTTGCGATGCTTCAAAAAAAGGTCTTGGAGCGGTTTTACTTCAAGTTGAAGGAGAAAACAAGAAACCTGTGGCATATATATCTCGGACTCTAACGCCTGCTGAAGAAAACTATAGTAACATTGAGAGAGAAGCGCTTGCGTGCACATGGGCAAGTGACCGTTTGAAATGTTTCCTGATGGGTAAAATGTACACAATTGAGACCGACCACAAACCGCTTGTCTCAATTTTCAAAACACAAAATTTGGACGAGCTCTCACCGAGGCTACAGCGGTTCCAAATGCGTATGATGAGATACGATTATCGCATGACCTGGACCCCAGGAAAAGACCTTGCCATAGCAGATCTACTATCAAGAAGTCCTATTCCGGCTGACGAAGATGGCGAATTGACCGAAGAAGTGGAAGCCTTCGTCCACGAAATCAGTCTGATCAGTATAAACACTACAGATGAAAATGTGACAAAGGTACTTCACTCACAAATGAGAGATCCAATCTGTGCACAACTTAAGTTACAAATTTTAGACGAATGGCCTGTAAAATCAAGTTTACCTAATGAGATTCAAGAGTACTTTAATGTGAAAGACGAGTTAAGTTGTATTGATGGGCTATTGCTTCGAGGAACTAGGATGATAATACCTCAAGAATTACGAGCGGAAATGCTCGAGAGGCTTCACAGTGGACACTTGGGAATCACAAAAACAAGGAAACGTGCTTTGGGAACCATGTGGTGGCCTGGAATTTCTCAAGAAATAGAGAGGAAAATCAAATCGTGTCCAGTGTGTATTCAGAACTCAACTAATCACAGTGAACCATTGATTCCGAGAACTGTCCCGGATTACCCGTGGCAAAATGTGTCTGTTGACTTGTTCAAACACGAAGACAAGTGGTATATGGTTATCGTGGATCACTACTCAAGATACTTTGAAGTCGAGGAAATGCATCGAATGAGGGCTTCAGATGTGATTCGGGTTTGCAAAACCACATTTTCACGTTTTGGAATTCCTCAACGTGTTTATTCAGATAGTGGGACACAATTTCACCATATTGACTCAAGTGAATTTAAATTGTTTGCAAAGGAGTGGGGGTTCTCCACATTCAGAAGTAGTCCCCACCACCATCAGGGAAATGGGGCAGCTGAAGCAGCTGTAAAAGTAGCAAAAGGGCTAATGAAGAAAAACAAGGATAAATTTGAACTTGCCCTACTTTCTTACCGGACCTCACCTCTTGAAACCGGCTTTTCCCCATCTGAACTTATGTTTGGAAGGAAATTAAGAGACAATCTTCCATCTACTTTGGTTGGAAATCCTGTGGAAAATAAGAATTTTCTTGAGAGGGAGAATAAGTACCAGAATAAGTACAAGATACAATTTGATAAACGACATGGAGCGAGTGGTTTAAGTGAATTAGAAGTTGGAAGCATGGTATTGATCACAGATCTACGTCGACACGGTAAGGTAGTCAGGAAATTGAACGAACCACGTTCCTACCTTGTGGAAACTGACAAGAGAACTATTCGCCGAAACAGGAAGTTCTTAGTTCCTGCACCGTACTACGGAGGAGATGGAATTCTTTCAAACTGTTCATCCATGGTCCTTAATCGTCCATGCAACTCACGTGATCGTCCAGGAGCTGGCACAGTAACCCGTTACGGAAGGTCCATTAAGAAACCGAGGCGGTACTGAGGTTCATGAAGATGTGGACATCTTGAAGCGGGATGTTGTATTAAGTCTGTTCTTTTATCATGTGTTTAAATATGTTTGTTGTCAGATGTTTTTGTAAACATTAGTTTAGTTTGAAAATAGAGTTTGTTCAAGCAAGATGTGTGAATAATATTCTTGTATAAGAAATAGAACAGTGTAATACCCATATTATGGCAGAATTCTTAAAAAATGCTTTTGTAGTAAATGTTATTGGCTTTCGTTTTATCACAAAGCCAAGTCTGTACCTTCAACACTTGTCTGAAAACTATATAAATAATAATTTATGAATATCACGATTTTTTTATTTAATGAGTTTAAATAATGTCCCCAACCATTAAGTGATAAAAACTAAATAAGGAAAAACATATTTAAGGTTTAAAGTTATATTTAAAGATAAATTATGACAAAACATTCTTATAATTAATATTTTGGCTTTTTGGACATTGAAGGCAAGGTATTAGAAATGTTTCCTGATTCAAAATCTTCGGGAAAAGACATATTATCGTCAGGGTAATTTTTATCCTCTTCAATAAATGGTAATGTGACATTTTGCAGTTCTTAGCAGAGCAAGGATACATAATGGTGAACACTTTAGCCTGATATATCGATGATCCTGGCCTTCCAACATGTGTAAGCACCCGTGCATCCCTTTTTGCACCTACAGTACATAAAACTAGTTTCAGAAGGTTGGATGGAGCTGGACTGCATGTTGTTGTCACTGGAACCAATCCTGCTGTGCTATTTGACCAACCCCACTCTGTGGGATCCTTTTCAATCCCTAACCATTTTTGCACTTGGTGTTATGCTCGAGATGAGTGGAAGGAAGCTGCATCTTGGGTGGGGGGCAAGCGTGAAAAGTTTACCTTAGCGCGGGCTGCTGCCTTTACAAACAGGCGGAACCGAAGGTTTTCGAATTCATCGTGGAATGTGTTGCCACCATACAAAGCAATTAGGCACTTTTCTCCAGCTTCCTAGGAGGAATTTTTAGGATGAGAATGGGGAAACCTATTTTAATCCTATAAAACCTTGTACCCTTTAGTACGATCATACTGGTTCATAACATTATTGCTTTTAATTTAATCAAAATCGGATGAGTTTTACTCTAGTTCATGTGCTGATGGACCTACACACACATTTACATAAATTTGAACGGAAGGCGTTTTTGACCTCTGGGAATTTGAAGTTGAAAAAGTAAATCAGTCCTGGATGTGTATAATTAATGATATTTTTCGACATCTAAATAAACGAAATTATAAGGTTTTAGCAAATGTCCTATATAGGGAATGATCTATTACCGTAGTACTCATGGTAAGACCTTGACCCGAGACCAATTTCAATACAGTACAAAATCAATAATATTCACCCTATAGATATAAATAGCAGATCAAAACACAGCTTATCTTTTGCCTTTTTAACTTAAAAAAGTCATTTTTCCATTTGTTTAAAACAAAATCCAGCAAATGACGTCCTTGTCCTTTTAACCAGTGAACAAGGTTGACACAACAACAGGAGGCCGTCTTTCAGGCTATCGGAAAAGATGCTGCGGTAAAAAGTACATCAGCAATCAGCATGAGTCTTATTGATGTAGAACCTGTACTATTGTAGTTAAAATGCATCATATACATATTTGAAACAGCAAAAAAAATATATACCGTAGTAGTAGACGCAACGATTGTGTTCAAATCCAATCAAATAGTCTTTATTTATTATTGTACATAAATCAGTACATGGAATGGCGTCAAAAACTATATCTAAAACTTAACATAAAGAAAACAAGTATAATAGAAATAAAACACTAATTTAACATACATTCTTCTTTTTTACTTACTGATAGGAAGTAGCTAATACCATAGGTGGTATGATAATGCTTAGTGCCGAGACCGATATATTTGATCATTTTCTGCGGTGGTAATATTTACTGTAATTTGTTTTGACACAAATTTATATATATATTTTTTTAATTTGCTAAAACATAGTAACATTTTTTTATCTATTAATAACTTACACATGTTGTAAAAACAATAAAGCTCGTTAAATGAAAAAATCGTGATATTCATAAATTATTATTTGTATAGTTTTCAGAAAAGTGTTGGAGGTGCAGACTTGGCTTTGTGATAAAACGAAAGCCAATAAAATTTACTACTAAAGCAGTTTTTAAGAATTTTGCCATAATATGTGTATTACACAATTTTTGTGGGTCCAACCTAGGAAAAATGTAAATTATGGTAATTAATTTAAAAAATTTGTAATTTTTGAAAAATCATTTCTCAAAAACTATTTGACACACCAAAATGAAACTATGCTTAAATTGTTGGATATTTTATCTACTTTAATTATTACATTTGAGTAGTATTAAGAAAAATGCACTGTTTATAAGTTATAAACCAAAAACTTAAAAAAATACATTAATTTTGTAATATTTTACTTATTACGCAGGGAGCACAGGGATCTCGAAGCTGCAAACTTGGTTTTGAGTTACCCTAACGGGTCCCAACAACATATTAAAAATGCAGCAATACATCACGCTTTGCGATTTTAGCCTCTTTTTATGTACGATTTGACTGGCCTATTGAGAGTTTTTATCTAATTAAATTCAGGATACCTTTAGAGATCGACTATATTCAAAAACTGCTACACTTTTGGTGGTAAGGTTTTAACAGATGAGTAAGGTAAAGAGGAAAAGTTCGATGGTAGACTAAGTGGTGTCTAGCACTAGTTGGTGGTGTCTAGGGAAAATTATATTTTTCTCCAACAAACCAAAACTACTTAAGAGCTGCTAAAATTCTTTGAGCTTAAATATTTTTGTCCTATTGAATTTTAAAAGTGTGCTAATTATGTCTAAGGAAGGTTCATGAATCATAATTTTTAGCATGTTTTTTTTTATTTTGTTTTTCGAGCCTTTTAAAATAAAAGCAAAATAAATTAAAAAGTCAATAGTTATAGGCTATAATTACCTTCTCAATTCACGGCGTTTCTTTGCAGGGAATCATGGTAGTATATTAATTTATTTTTGTTTATTTTACAAAATCAACTAGTTCAAGTCTTTGATACAATTTGATACTTATTTAATTGGCTTCCATTACCAATTCGTAAATCTTCCTGATAGTTTTTTAAGTTTACCTACTATACCTAGCACACTTAGTTTGAGTTTTATTCGAATTCTTGCTGTTTTTGCTGCCTATTTATGTACTATTCTTGTATTTTAAACCTATTTTACATTCTGTTACAGCTTTCTAATAGGATGTGATGGAAGGGTGTACGAAGGACGAGGGTGGGGAATACACCCTAAGAAGGTTAATTCCCTTTACAAATATCGCCAACTAGAGGGGAAGAGCTACGACATTGCGTATATTGGACCGTATTATAGAGGTGTGTTTTGCATGATCTTATTATAGCTTTATATGTTTAATTTACAGCTCAATAAATATATAAAATATTTATATTCAAGAACTACGCACACGAAAGAGGAGAGATCATGAGGAGCATCTGTAGTCTAGTATTCAGACATTTCATATTGAACTCATTCATGACAGACACAATTGACTGCAAAAGAAATAATAGGCTTTATCCCGTTGTCATAAAAAGTATAATTCATAACTTGCAAGTGATTAAGTCGCACTTGCTTCAATTATTCCCGTCCTCGGCTTTCCCCAAAACGTAAATACCATCCTAACATGCTCGGCTTCACCTCGTTTGTGAAATTTTGTGATTCTGGCACGAATAATAGAAAAATACTGGTATGGATCATAAACATAAACAAATGACGTTTTTGGCCCGAAAGTAAACAAAACCCCTATATTAAAAGCATAATTTAACATATTTTTTTGTTTACTTTCGGGCCAAAAACGCCATTTGTTTATGTTTATGATACATACTGGGTCTTTTCTAGTATTCGTGGTTTCTGTGTTTGGTTTTGCCATACACATGAAACATGAATGCGCACCGAAAAATGGCACTTTTGGTTTTAGATATAGGACTATTTTCAAGAGGCACAGCTAGAGCCATCCAGTTACCCATCTTTCGCTTGACCTGTTTTATAAAAATAAAAAAGCAGTTTGATTGTATTAAAAAAATAATAGTCTGATATTAGACTAACTTGAATGGTTTAGTTAATATTGTTTACCATCGATCATATGAATCATAATCGTGTGTACCACAATTACAGGTAGAAAGGTGCACGCCGATGAGAGGTCACTGTGGCCAAAGCTATCTTTTCTCACACCAATGTACCACGCTTTGAAGAACCTAATAACCGCTGGAGTGAACGCCGACATCATCGATGACGGTTTCGGTCTTATATCTCAAGTCAACTGCTGAGAAATGCTTCGTCTAATTGTATTACGTGTATTTTTTACTTTTATTAAATATAGTGTTGTTATTTTCCTTATTCACATTGTTTTTAGTTGGTACTTCAAACTATAAAAGCCCTCACATCTCCTATTAATGATCACTTTAAACTCATCATGATAGTTCGGTGTTCTAGAGATATAAATTTATAATAGATTAACCTTAAAAGTCGTAAAAACAGTTTAAAAGTAGCTTTAGTATCAGGTAACTATTTTATTGCAAGAGTAGTTTCATAGTAGGACTGTCGGTAGAACATAAATCATCATACTAAATTTTAAAATCCTCTAATTTGAATGTTCATCCACACTTGGTTTTTAATAGCCTAACCCTGGCAGAGAAATCTGGTTAAAGCATTGAATTATTTCTATGGAAGCTTACTGTAGTTTCGTTTTGCAATACAGTGTGATATAATTTGTAGAACAACAAACAGTTTCTAAATCGTATGAAAAAAATTAAGAATCGTGCAATCAATAATTTGCCATACCAAAAAGTATACATTTTAGCAATATAAACACTTTCATTATAATTTACGAAATCAGACTGAAACAATAATACAATCAAATCGGGACACAAACTCTTGTTTCTAATAATGAATCACACAATCATTGTCTTTACACTATCGCGTTACGGAAATTATCCATGTTTATCTTCATTGAATAACCATTAATCGACAAAAAAAAACTTTACACAACTATATGCCTACAAAATACAGAATAGAATATATCTATACAAATATAATTACGTTGAGCTGGTTACACTATAAGACTTATACTATAAACATATAGTGGTGACATTTTGATGGTGACTAATGTTTATTATTTTATGTAAACCTTTTTGAAACGGTATATGAGGATGTGAAATGAACAATGTCAAATGATTATTTATTAATGTAGTGTTGTGACATAAATCCTAACAGCTGGGACTACTGTAAGTACTTCATGAACTTTAAGGTATACATTATTTCTGTTTTAAATCTCCCCAAACAAACTAAGAAATATTTGGCCTCACCATAAGATTTACTATTCTAAATTTGTTCAATTTCCCTAAGCCTTGTAGACCTAGGCCTTTTAGACCTAAGTCTTGTAGACCTAAGCCTTGTAGATAGCCTTGTAGACCTAGGCCTTGCAGACCTAAGTCTTGTAGACCTAAGCCTTGTAGACAGCCGTCTAAGCCTAAGTCTTGTAGTCTAAAGACCTATTTATATAACATAATTAATTGATAGCCTAAATAAGTGGCATGTGGTTGCAGAACTAATTGCACTCTCGAACGAATCAGTAACCCTCTGATTTGAAGGCAAGCAATAAATCTCTGCTAAACACGAAATAATGGGTCTTACATACATTTAGTCGCTTCTGTATTTTCCATCAATAAACGTGTGACTAAAATCCTAAATGTTGTATTTTAAACTCAACAAAAATGTCTATTTTTATTTTAAAGTATAACTGACGATTTCACGTAGTTTATTTTAATTGGTAATACAACTAGAAATGGTATGGCTCCAATTAATGAAAAGCTTAATTGTATTATAAAATGGCTTAGCTTAAGAGGATTATAAATGTATGCAGATTAAACTATCCACTATACACCATACTATCCTATCAAAACTTTAAGGTTATACACCCTTAAAGAGAACGATGAAATATCTACTATTAAGAATTATATTACACATATGTGTTAAGTTCCATCCCGCCCGGAATTGTCATCTTCTCTCCAGTTTGATGGTAGACTTCAACCATTTATATTAGTTTAATTTAAAATTTTCTTACGCAAAGCCAGTTTTCATTTTTACACACAAATGCAGGCAAAGCATAGAGGTTCGCTGCAATACCTCATAGATAAAAGCAATAGGTAATTAACTAGAATTGAACTCAAGTCCTTGTGGACCGAAGCAGCACACACTCTACTCTTAGACCAAAGTATTTCCTACAACTACCCTTATCTGCCTGTCTCCAGATGCCGTCCCCCATCAACATAGTGACCAGGGCTGAATGGATGGCGCGGCCTCCCGTAACCATCCGTCCCCTGACCACCCCAGTGGACACGGTGCTGCTGATGTACACAGGGTCAGCTGACTACTTGACTACGAAGGAAGTGCTGAGCATCCTCCCGGAGATGCAGAGGACCAGCATCTTGCTGCAGAGCTGCTTCGACATTAACTACAAGTTTGTATTTGGTTAAAGCGTTGACAACGAACCAAGATCATGCTAGAGCGTTGCTTCGACATTAACTACAAGTTTGTATCGGGTTAAAGCGTTGACAACGAACCAAGATCATTCTAGAGCGTTGCTTCGACATTAACTACAAGTTTGTATAGGGTTAAAGCGTTGACAACGAACCATGATCATGCTAGAGCGTTGCTTCGACATTAACTACAAGTTTGTATTGGGTTAAAGCGTTGACAACGAACCAAGATCATGCTAGAGCGTTGCTTCGACATTAACTACAAGTTTGTATTGGGTTAAAGCGTTGACAACGAACCAAGATCATGCTAGAGCGTTGCTTTGACATTAACTACAAGTTCGTATTGGGTTAAAGCGTTGACAACGAACCAAGATCATGCTAGAGCGTTGCTTCGACATTAACTACAAGTTTGTATTGGGTTAAAGCGTTGACAACGAACCAAGATCATGCTTGAGCGTTGCTTCGACATTAACTACAAGTTTGTATCGGGTTAAAGCGTTGACAACGAACCAAGATCATTCTAGAGCGTTGCTTCGACATTAACTACAAGTTTGTATTGGGTTAAAGCGTTGACAACGAACCAAGATCATGCTAGAGCGTTGCTTCGACATTAACTACAAGTTTGTATTGGGTTAAAGCGTTGATAACGAACCAAGATCATGCTAGAGCGTTGCTTCGACATTAACTACAAGTTTGTATTGGGTTAAAGCGTTGGCAACGAACCAAGATCATGCTAGAGCGTTGCTTCGACATTAACTACAAGTTTGTATTCGGTTAAAGCGTTGACAACGAACTAGAATCATGCTGTTGAATTCCATTGACATTAACCACAAGTTTGTGTTAGTTGAAGCTTTGACAGCGAACCAGCATAAAGCTGGAGCGTTGCTCTGACATTAACTACAAGTTTGTATTAGGTCGAAGCTTTGTACATGGGTGGAAATAGATTTATCATTCTCATGTCGAGTCTTGGTATTCATGTGAGAATTGCGTTGATTATTGAAGATAGTGGATAACCGATGCGTTCCAGCAATATTTTCGTTTTCTTCAGGATAAACTACTATTCAACTGAAGAGCATTGATGGAAAGCAGCCGAAATTTTGGCAACTATCTTAACCAATTCTGTATCACGGGTTCCTTTAATCATAGAAAAACACCACCAAGATCTCATTCTCAAGTTTAAGCTGTAGTCAACTTCAACTAAATTGATCAGTTGAGGAATTGTGCTGCTGTAAATTACAGACGACCTTCTGGTATATGAACTTGATACTATGCCAAACTGAAAGGACAAATTATTGTTGTATAAATCATGCAGACTCTTATGTCTCATTAAATTTCACATTAACTGCAATTAAGGTAATACCGTTTTGGACTGTAGCACACACAGTGAGTGGATTGCCTACTGCTGGTCTGTATAGATGAGATGCCCACTTCAGAAAGGTAGTGGTGGAAAATAAGAATGGATTTATGGAAATAAATACAATAGATAAGCAGGTCTACTTAACCAAAATTTTTATTATTAATGTTTTATTAGTGTACTTGTATTATTATTAACATTGATAGTATTACTATTACCAATAATCACTTATTATTATTACAATCACCTGATGCGTTAGATATTATTTATTAGAGGGTAGGAAATATGTCCTGCACATTACAAAAATTATCATCATATTATCTTTTGTAGAAATATCTGCCGAGGAAAGAATTTGATAAATAAATTATAAGCCGCAGTTAAAGCCATTAGTTCATCGTACAATTAAAAGGTAATTTAAAGTGAAGAAGAATATAACAATGAAAAGGCTTAAGACATTGTAGTTGATTTTTATCAAAAAAACTCAATTTTAGGACAGCAACAACGACAATTTTGATTGATGATAGCTTTTTTCAAAAAGTTGTAATTTGTTACAGTGGCAAGTGTATGAAGTTTAAATAATAATTTTATATTAATACAAATATCATATTATTAATTTAATAGCCACATTTGTCTTTGATCTAATCAGTTTCCAACTTAACGTTTGCATTAAGAAATAATAAAAGACATACAAAACTCAATAATCTTTAATTTGGTTCCAATGTAATTTACAAGTAGATCTGTCATAAAAACCTTAATCCAAAGTCATAAACTCACCAATCTTCTACATTAGTATTTCTAAATCATTGACATTTCTTTTGTTCGATTTTTAATGTTGTATTGTGTGTTTAGTTGTATTCTTTACTGTTTGTTATTGATATATGATTCTTATATCTTCAGTTGGTTGGTCGATTACAATGGCAACATTTATGAAGGCCGAGGATGGAGAACAAACGTGGAGAAATATCACTATTCACCTTATGGCCAATTCAATGGGAAAAGTATTGACATCGGGATGATAGGTAACTTTGCAGGTGAGAATTAAAATTTTCAATTGTTTTAATCCTTATGAATATAATAGCAAGATAATTATAAATGCATTGATCTTTTGATTGCCAAATTATGATACCATTTTGTTTGGTGTGGAAAATAAAGTAAAAATTTAATTATATTTGCTTAATTAATTTGAGCATAAAGTGTAATCTCATAGTTTTATAAGTTTTGGTTTTTATTGAATACATACCGTATAATGGCCCCACAGCAAACAAAATTTTAAAACTTTACTAAATACTATTTAAGATATAATTGTATCATGCTAAAATATACTAACACAATGCTTAGTATTTTTGGAGGGTTTCAAAAATGTTTTCAAGACATTTCTAGCAAATGTTTTCGGACTTTTCAGAAAAGAACCCTCCCAGATTCATGGAAAAGGTAGTTACAAGGCTTATAAGATGGGGCATGAAAGAAAAGGCTATCATAAAAACGAGACACCTGAAGATATACAATTGGAAAGACTTCCCTATCCACCACCATCATCCAAATTCTTATACCCATTATAAGACATTTTAGACCACCAGTTAATATGAACTCAATCCATCCTATTATCTGGAAACATATAACATTTGCAGTTTGCGTAATACTGTAAAACCGTCTTTTGGGCAGTTTAAAGAATGTTTAGTCAAGTTATGTTTGGAAATGATTTTTCTCCTACTACTTTACAGAGTTTCAAATGAACTTTTCAGATAAGAACCCTCCAAGGTCAATGGAAAGAGTCGTAACAAGGCTTATCGAGTGGGGAATGACGGAAAGGTTTATTATAAATACTAGACATCTCAAGATATACAACTGGAAAGACTTTCCTAATATGAATTACGATAATATTTATATCCAGGATAAGTAACATGGAAAAAACTCCATAACATTTAACGTCCAGAAAAATAAATTTAAATTGCTGTTTGCAATGAGTGTTATATAATGTGATGTATTTTTACGTATATATTGATGTTAATATATTTTTCCTACAGTTACCTAACAATGTACATGTTCTCTCACTGATTTGAGAAAGCAAAGTGGCCAATTCGCTCATCAGTGAGACAATGTTAACATTGTCTCACTCTAATTACTTTGTCCCACTCCAGATTTGCAACGTGAAGGCACGAAATAGTGAGCGCGAAACATGCAGGCAACGTCGTATGCGCGCGAAATACGTTGGCAGCACTGGCTGTAAATCAGCTGGTCAGCTGTTGTACTGTTGTATTTGTCACTTCACATTAAATGTTATATTAAAAATTCACTTCTGTGTGAAAATAGGTTATGTTTCTTCACAAATTTATTTGTTTTATGGTAACTGTAGGAAAAGTTTAATGTGCAACTCGAGTTCAAAGTACAATTGCCTCACTCGAGAAACCATTCCTCACTCGCCTATACAGTATATGGCTCGTGAGTAAGGATTTCTCTCGAGTGAGTCAATTGCTCACTTTTCTCACTAGTTGCACAATAGTTATTTGTGCAACTAGTGAGAAAAGTGAACAATTGACTCACTCGAGAGAAATCCTTACTCACGAGCCGTAGGCGAGTGAGGAATGGTTTCTCGAGTGAGGCAATTGTACTTTGAACTCGAGTTGCACATTAAACTTTTCCTACAGTTACCATAAAACAAATAAATTGGTCTTATGTTTCTTCAAACATAACCTATTTTTACACAGAAGTGAACTTTTAATATAACATTTAATGTGAAGTGTCAAATACAACAGTACAACAGTTGACCAGCTGATTTACAGCCAGTGCTGCCAACGTACTTCGCGCGCACACGACGTTGCCTGCATGTTACGCGCTCACTATTTCGTGCCTTCACGTTGCAAATCTGGAGTGAGACAAAGTAATTAGAGTGAGACAATGTTAACATTGTCTCACTGATGAGCGAATTGGCCACTTTGCTTTCTCAAATCAGTAAGAGAACATGTACATTGTTAGGTAACTGTAGGAAAATAACTATTTCTAGTTGCAACTATATGTTAAAAGTCTATAGAGTACTGTAAATTATTAGACAATATTATTGAAGTATTGTTTAACAAATGTACATTATTTGCATTATAAAGTTGATTGTATAAATAATCAGTTCTTCACATGATAAATATTTTGTAAATTTGTTTGAATGTATTATGTTGTTTGTTTGAATACCAAAATGTTGTTTTCAACATTTGCGTTTTTATGAATATATCCCCCTTTTGCACTGGAGTTTCGTACGCTCACCAGATGCGTTTTTGTGTGTAATCAATGTAAACCATTATATTATTTACAATGATGAATAGTGCCATTGCATTACCTAGGTATAGTTCAAATAGTTAAATATGTATGGCGCTCCGTAGCCATAAAAATCCACGTAAGGGTATAGATTCCCGGTCTCAGTTATTTCGTCTATATATTTATTTTTTTACTTTTTCAATCTCCTTAAAGAGGAAGGGGGTTATAATGAAAATTCTTAAGAGGTTAAATATAGCCTCAAATACAATAGTCAGTTCCCATAAACTTTAAATCTGTTAAACAAAATAGTTTAATAATACAGCACACTATTCTCAAACTGATAAATCTATAAATAAAAGAAGGGTGACAGAGTTTCAAAGTAAAACAAAGTGGGAAAGTGGCAAAGACGTCGGATGTTCTTCAGATTTGGTGCAAATGGATTTTATTGGTCAGGCTTTGTATAGACGAATCGATGCCAGTGTTCAATAATATTTTAGTTTTTGATCTAAAAAACCTTGTGATCACTCTTAGTAACTAACCTGTTTAGTAGTTTTTGTCCCCTTTCGTGTAATGTGTACATTTTTTACTAATATGTATTAATATCGATAAAATAGTGTATCGAAAAAATCTTTTTAACGATTCCAGATTATAAATAAGTAGTTTAGAAGCTTATAAGTATTATTAAATGCACAGCACTTTCAAAAGCCTTCTTTTAAAATTTGCGTTATAAACATGTATTGTAACTTTTTTTGGGTACTATATCTGAAGTTGTTATAAATCATTGTGATAAATTGAATGTAACAAAATAAAATTTATGAATTGTTTATAACAGCTGATAAATCTTTCGTACCTTTAGGAAAATGGTTTAAAATTATATGAACAAAATAGGTTAGAATGTAAAACTAAATAACTACATATTTTAAAATAACACTGAAAAATTACCAATTGTATAGCAAAAAACAAATACAAAATCCTCCTAAGTAACTGGAATATACATTTTATACCGGTGATATCTAAATGTGCTAAATTTTGTTCTGTCTAAATGGTTTGACCATTGGTTTTAGATAAAACTGTGGACTCAGGTGTATGTACCACCAAAAATATATTCGATTTAAATTTCCAAATACGTCTGTTGTTTTACATTCCTTTCCATTTTTTACCGGCAAACTTTAGACAATGGTGCAAAAACACGCCTCCAACATGATTTGACATGTTAATCACAATCCACGCTGCACTAGCCGGATCACCGGACTCTCCGACGGTGATGAATCTTCAACAACCGGAAATTAACAGCTGTAAACAGGAAATGGAGGAAAGGACCGTCGCTACTTGAAGATTGATGGGTTCTGACCGTGCGTCTGACACGGTACAACAGCAGGGCCGGTTCTAGGAATTTTTCAGAGTTAAGCGAACACCCGAATCAGCGCCACTTAGAATTCCCCCCCCCCCCCAAACCATGAACATAACTTAACCATATTTGTGAATTTTTCCCCAATAATTTTGGGAAGAATTTTTTAATAAGTTTAGGTTAGAAGAATACTTGCAATAAAAGGCTAACATTTTTACAATTTTACTCATCATATAAACTTTAGCAAAACCATAGATAACACAACCAAGGCCACACAAAAAAAACCTTAATGCTCATCAAGCATGACGTCACGACAGAAGACGGCAATGACGTAATGTTTGCCGTTTGTGATCAGCTGCTTGTGTTAATATTTCCTTGGAAAATAAATAAATAAATACCTAAATCATTGCCGTCTTCTATCGTGACTTCTTTGGGCTGAATGGGGTCGCCACCAGATGATTTAAACAAAAATCTACTCATTGATTTGGCTTGTTTTTTATCTTCCTCTTCCAAATTCGCCTTACGCTTTCTATAATAAGTGCCAGACGGTTTCTTTTTTTCTGCCATTGTTTTCTTAGTATCGGCTCGCAAGATGTTTTACTCATTCATTCAGTTTATACTTTCTTCTAATTTAATGCGCTAATTATAAATTAAACTTAAACCACTCGTAATCATATACTTATCAACAATCATGAATCATCAAAACAATGCCAATACGATACCGATACGGTATACGTGTACAACTAAAAGAGTGCAATACAACGTAATGCTCTGCTCTAGGATCAGAGCCAGAGGCAGAAGGGAGGGAAGGGAAGTTTCATGTTGTGTCAAGTGGCGGTGGGGCACACGGGAGGGACGATGGCTTAACATAGTGTCAGCCAGCGTTCGCCGCTAGAACCGCCAAGTCGAAAAATTTAAATTAATTTTATAATTTTTAGTAATAAAATTAACTTTTTAATTATAAAATTAAACTGTCATAACCTAACCTAACCAACCAAACTTGCTGATAATATAAAAAAGATATAAGATAAAAATCAAATAAAGTAAAATCTTTGACAAAAAGTCAGCCTCTCGACGGGTCTTGAAACTCGAGACCTCCTGATCACTAGTCCGATGCGCTATCAATTATGCCACGAACGCCCCTGAAATCACATTGTCCCGTTACGGTAATCATGTCGCCTCAAGAGAAGACATTATAGCCACTAGAGATATGACGTCACCACACCTTTAGCCATCGTCCCTCCCGTATGCCCATCCGTGACAAGTGGCGCTGCGCGCTTGCTTATCTCGAGCATGAGCGAGTCGTGAAATGAAACCCACAGGCGCCGCGCTGTACGCTGTACGCTGCCGACTGCCGAGCGTCAGCTCACTACAAATCGAAACTGCAAATGGCATTGAGTCCTTCAGTTGTAGTGCTGTACAAATATACACATTTTTCAAGTGCTGTTGGTACAAACAGAATAAATACCTTTATTGTGGTGCTTTGAATTACTTGAACTCTGAGCAAAAATAAACAAAATTACATTGTTCACGTAAAAAAAAATTGTTCCGTTGGCGCCACGGCGCCACTTTTTCGTGGCGCCATATGCGGCCGCGTAGTTCGCGTATGGGTTAAACCGGCCCTGTACAACAGGTCGCGGAAACAAAAAATGGACGAAACGTCAAAAATTATTGCAATAACTTTTCATAATAATAAGTTCCTGTATTGATTTTTTCCTGCAAAACGTGATTTTTCTCACGTTGACCTATTTGAATACTTGGGTAGGTGTGTGGGTGGCTAATTACGCGAGTTGGGTATACTACTTTACCTACAACCGTTTCTTACTAAAAATCAATACTCATAACTTTCAAGAGAGCTTATGTTTTCGTTTATAACCTCACATAGCCACTGTTTGTGATGCAACAACGTATTGTCTAAACCACTCACTCATTTTTTAATCAATTAAATTTTATTGGTCTCAACAGCTGATAAGTGACATTCAAAGTATAACAATTTTAGTCATTTTCTCTCAATCTTTGAATCTCATTTGTCCGTTAAGCGTGTTTTTAAGTAGAACAGCAATGATGTCAAGTGAACTGATACGGCTAGTTAAAAAAACTGTAGTAGGTAAAATAGATAACCCAATCAAACTTCTGGGTAACCGAGTAATTGCTTTCCTTTACATATGAAAGTTTCTGTTTTGATCCTATGACGACCGATTCAGGACCGAGATGTCATTTTTCATTAGGCTACTAATTAATGTAATTAATGTTCTAATAAATGTCATAGGCTGACAAAATGCAAACTTGTTTATAGAAGGCACATACTGAGAACTTTTAACTTGTACTACACCCATTTCATCATTCACAAATCTGTTTTACGATTCCAGATTATAAATAAGCAGTTTTGAAGTATTATTAAATGCAAAGCATTTTCAAAAGCCTCCATTTAAAATTTGCGATACAAACATATCACGATACGAGTCAAAACACTTTGAAGTATGTATTCAAGTGTTACAAATTAATTATGAAAACAGATTTAAGTACCAACAAATGC